AGGGCGACAGCGGGGCCACGAAGGGCATGCATATGGGGCCACGACGGGCGCGTGCGAGCGGGGGCCACGAAGAGCATAGAATGCGGGCCAGATGGGGCAGCAACGGGGCCACTGAGGGCAGCAACGAGGCCACGAAGGGCGCGAGCCAAAGCGACCGCGGAAACACTACGGGCAGCGATGGGCATCGAGAGCGGGCGAAGGGCAGCGATAGGCGACTGCAGTCCCTAACGGGCGGGTCGGGCAAGCGGGCCCCGACAGGCGGGTCGAGCGGGCGGGTCGCTGAACCGTGAATCCTGCTTGAATCGCAAGGATATCTCTGGCGAGAGCGCAACTTCCAAGAAAATCTTGAGAAAGTCTACAAAGAAAACGCGATTCATGAGTGTCGTGGGGCGGCATCTGAATATATCGTAAAGGAGTTTCAAGCGAGAGCGCGATTCCTCCGTAGATCGCAAGGAAGTCTCAAGCGAAAGCCTGATTTTTCAATCAATTGAGAGGAAACATCAGAGGCGGGAGCCGTTGTTGTTGCAACTCGGAGGCCCACCGCCCGTGTCGAGGAGCGGCATCTCAGTTGCAAGGAACTCTCAAGCGAGAGGGCGACTGCTGAGCAGATCGCATGGAAGTATCCAGCGAAAGCCTGTCTTCTCAACGAGCTGTGAGAAGTATCAGGTGGGAGCCGTTGTTGTTGTAACTCGGGGGCCCGCCGCCCAGTTTGAGGCTCGAGACTTTCCCTGATGAAAAACATGTGCGAGCCCCAGGAGGGGCACTTAAAATCCGCCGACCCTGTTGGCGTGTGTGAGGGGCTTGGCTGTTCGAGTCGTCGTCTCCGTCAGTCGTCGTCTCCGTCGTCCCCTTTCCCTGCACCCTCCTCCTCAAGCCTGTCAGCGAGAGGAAAATCTAGCAATGTCGTAATCGAGTCGAAGGGAAACCCCTTCCCTTTGATCCCTTCCCCGCGCCGGGGGTCCTCGGGGGGTCCCGGGGGGGTCCCAAGGGGGTCCCTGGGAGGTCCCGGGGGGGTCCCGTTCGGGGTCCCGGGGAAAGTCCCCACCCAGATACGCTTTCCCCCCCTGGGGGCCCTGGGGCTTCAGAGTGCCCCAAGAGGCCGCCGAGACGGTCCAAGAGGGTCCCTGATCGCCGAACGATCGGTTTAAAGCGCATTCACGCCTTTCAGACTGGCCAGGAGGCCTCCAGGACGCCCGAAAACGCTTCCAAGAGCACTCCCGAGAGGGTCCCAAGAGGCCAAAAACATTGGTTCTTTGCTGGTTTTTGATAAGATTTGGGCGTCCTCGCCTTTTCCACTTCCCGCCGCTCCAAAACGGCGCCAGAGGCCCCCAAGATCTCTCCAAGACGGCCCAGGAGGCCTCCCAGAAGGCCCCCCAAACAGCCCAAGAGGACCCCCAGACAGCCCAAAACGCTTCCAAGACGGGCCCAGATGCCTCCAAGACGGCTCCAAGAGCGCACCCAGACGGAGGACCCGAACGGACATCTCGAACCCCCGGCCCAAAGAGGCTCCCAGGAGGTCCCTAGAGGTTCCCCAGAGGCCCCAAGAGGCCCACAAGAGGTCCCCAGGAAGCCTGAAGAGGCCTCCAAGAGGCTCCCAAGAGGCCCCCAAGAGGTCACCAAGAGGCCCCAAAATTTGTCCCCAGAGGCCCCCGAGAGACTTCCGAAGAGACCCCAAGACCCATCCCTGGCCCACGTCAGCGTCGCCGTCGTTGCCGCCGCCACCGCCGACGCCGCCGCCGCCGCCGCCGCCGCCGCCGCCGCCGTCGTCGTCGTCGTCGTCGTCGTCGTCGTCGTCGTCGTCGTCGTCGTCGTCGTCGTCGTCGTCGTCGTCGTCGTCGTCGTCGTCGTCGTCGTCGTCTCCCTTCTGGGTCGGCGGCACCGGCCGTAAGGCCTTCGCAATAGCCCAGAGGGGGGTCAACAATAAATATTCCCCAGAAATGAGAGTTCAACAACATCGTCAGTACCACCACCACCACAACCACCACCACCACCACCATCATCATCATCATCATCATCATCATCATCATCATCATCATCATCATCATCATCATCATCATCATCATCATCATCATCATCATCATCATCATCATCATCATCATCATCATCATCATCATCATCATCATCATCATCATCATCATCATCATCATCATCATCATCATCATCATCATCATCATCATCATCATCATCATCATCATCATCATCATCATCATCATCATCATCATCATCATCATCATCATCATCATCATCATCATCATCATCATCATCATCATTCATCATCATCATCATCATCATCATCTCATCATCATCATCATCATCATCATCATCATCTCATCATCATCATCATCATCATCATCATCATCATCATCATCAGCATCATCATCATCATCATCATCATCATCATCATCATCATCATCATCATCATCATCATCATCATCATCATCATCATCATCATCATCATCATCATCATATCATCATCATCATCATCATCATCATCATCATCATCATCATCAATCATCATCATCATCATCATCACCACCACCACCACCACCACCACCACCCACCCACCACAGCAAAGCAGCAGCAGCAGCAGCAGCAGCAGCAGCAGCAGCAGCAGCAGCAGCAGCAGCAGCAGCAGCAGCATCATCATCATCATCATCATCATCATCATCATCGTCGTCGTCATCCTCATCAGCAGCAGCAGCAACATCAGTATCAACATCATCAACATCAGCATCATCATCAGCATAATCATCAACCTCATCATCATCAGCAGCATCAGCATCAGCAGCAGCATCATCATCATCATCATCAGCATACTCATTATCATCAGCAGCAGCAGCATTATCCTCAGCAGCATAATCAGCATACTCAGCATATCATCATCATCAGCATCAGCATCATCATCACCATCAGCACCATCATCAGCATCATCATCATCAGCAGCATCAGTATCATCATCATCAACATCATCATCAGCATGATCATCAACATCATCATCAGCAGCAGCATCAGCATCAGCAGCATCATCATCAGCATACTCATTATCATCAGCACCAGCACTATCCTCAGCAGCATAATCAGCATAATCTTCATCATCATCATCATGAACATAAACATCATCGTAATCATCCTCATCATCGTCATCATTAGCATCATCAAAATACTTCATCAGCATCAGCATCATCATCATCGTCAGCAGCATCGCATCAGCGTTATCATCATCCGCATCATCATCACCATCGTCATCGCCATTGTCATCAGCATCCTCATCATCAGAAGCAACAGCAGCAGCACCACCAATGTCAGCATCATCAGCCCCGTGATCGTCATCACCACCACCATAGTCAGCATCATCATCGTCGCCGTCATCATCAACAACATCATCATCATCGGCATCGTCATCAGCGTCATGAGCATAACCATCATCAGCATCAGCAGCAGCATCAGCATTATCACCATCATCATCCGCATCATCCTCATCAGCAGTGCATCATCATCAGCAGCCTCATACCCAAACGCATGCGTGTCATCGTCATCGTCAGCATCACCAGCAGCAGCATCAACAAAATTCGACATGATCATCAGCAGCAGCACCAGTTCTGTCATCATCATCATAATAATTATCAGCACCATTAGCATGATCAGCAGCATCATTATCATCGAACTCAGCGTCACGATCAAAATCAGCAGCAGCATCAACATCATGATCAGCATCATCATCATCGTCGCCGTCATGAGCCTCATCTCCATCTGAGTGATCATAGTATAGACATCGTCAGCAGTATCAGCATCATCATCATCATCATTATCATCAACATCATCATCACCATCATCATCATCATCATCATCATCATCTCCATCATCATCATCATCCACTATCGGCATCATCATCACCATGACCATCATCATCGTTCACTATCGTCAGCATCATCATCAGCATCGTAAACATAACCGTCATCAGCATCCTCATCATCAACCTCATCATCGTCATCACCATCACCACCACAACAACCACTACCACCACCAACAACATAATCATCAGCATCAGCATCATCAGCATCATCGTCATCATCATCACCCTCCAACTATTCCTCTTCCCTCTCCCCCTCCTCCTCCTCCTCACCCCCCTCCTGGACGACGAACCTCCACCTCTTACTCCTCCTTCTCTTCCTTCTCCTTCTCCTACTCGTCCTCCTCCTCCGCTCTCCTCCTCCTGCTCCTCCTCCTCCTTGTCCTCCTCCTCCTCCTCCTCCTCCTCCACCACCTCCTCCTCCACCTCCTCCACCTCCTGCTCCTCCTCCTCCTCCTCCTCCTCCCACTCCTCCACGTCCACCTCCACCTCCTCCTCCTCCTCCTCCTCCCTCCTCCTCCTCCTCCTCCTCCCTCCCCCACCTCCTCCCTCCTCCTCCTCCTCCTCCTCCTCCTCCTCCTCCTACTCTCCTCCTCCACCTCCACCTTCCACCTCCTCCTCCTCCTCCTCCTCCTCCACTGCATTCTTTCTCCTCAACCTCCTCCTCCTTTTCCTCCTCCTCCTCTCTTCGTTCTCCTCCTCCTCCTCCTCCACCTCCTCCTCTCCCTCCTCCTCCTCCTCCTCCTCCTCCTCCGTTTCCTCCTCCCGTCCTCCTCCTCCTCCCACGCATCTCCCCCCCACCACCACCTCCCCTCCTCGTCTGCGTCCTCCTCCACCTCCACCTCCTCCTCCTCCACCCCCTCCACTTCCCTCTCCTCCTCCTCCACCTCCTCCTCCTTCCTCCTCCTCCTCTTCCACCTCGTTTTCGTTCTCCACATCCTCCACCTCCACTTCCTCCTCTCCCTCCTCCACCTCCTCCTCCTCCTCCGCTTCATCCTTCTCGTCCACCTCCTCCCACGCCTCCCCCACCTCCTCCTCCTCCTCCTCCTCCTCCTCCTCCTCTCCACCACCTCCCCCTCCTCCGCCTCCTCCTCCTCCACCTCCTCCTCTTCCTCCTCCTCCTCTCCCTCGTCCTTCTCCGCCTCCTCCTCCTCCTCAAGGTTCTGCAGAAGAACATGGTCATCCATGAACGCCAATCGAGAGAAAAACAAACAAATTACGTTAACTCAACACGCCTGGTCGAGCAGGTGGCAGCCTTCCGGGACCCAGGCATGAAACCTTGGATCAGCTGCTTAAGGGTACGACCTCCGTGCTCGCTGGGCTTGCCATTGCAAGGGGCGAGGAGCGGGGCCAAGATCCGATTACTGGCACCGTACCCACAGGCTTCACAAACCACGACGGGGTGGGACGGGGCAAAGGTACCAGAGGAGAGGGTCACTTCGAGGAGCCTGTGCGGTCGGTGGCCGTCAGCAGCAAGAGCCCGCGACGCCGCGACGGCCCTCGGGAGGACGCTCCCCCCGCACTCTCCTCCAGGTGTAACCCCCGCACACCGACAGACACGGCACCACGCGGCACCGCCCGCAGACACCACCGAGTGCACAACTTTGGGTTCGTACAACTGGAGGGTGGGGACAGAGCGCTTGAAAGTCCTCTTATGACTGGCGTCATGGTCGGCAGCCACGGCTCCAGCCATAGCAATCCAGAGCCCGACTCCCAGCACAAACTGATCGCATTGCTGGAAGCGAGAGAGCAGGGCGGGCGGCGCGCGGTGGGGCCGCACGGCCTCCTTGGCCGCCTCGTCGGCCATGCCATTACCAGCGCGGTCGATGTCTCGCACGCGGCCTGCCTGGACGTCGGCGACGGTCGCATGAGCTTTGATTTTCGAGACCAACGAGCCCAGGGGGCCCAAGCCCCCGAACTCGTCTAAAAGCCTCCAAAACCTCCTCCACAGGTGGGCCCAAGCCGCCTTGGGGTGGGTGGTGGCGGCCTCGCCCCTCTCCAGGATCCCCTTGGCGACAAAATCGGAATCCGAATAAACGTGGATAGGAGGCATAGAGAAAATCAGAACATGTATGATGGCGGGAAGCTCGGCCCCGTCGATATCAGGGACGGGCTCGCACAAGAGGCCAGCGACCTTGGCATTCTCGCGCTGCTGGGGGGTGCCGGGGCCATCTCCGATGGACACGAGCGCCCATCCACAAACGCACAAATCGGGGAACTGGGATTCAAAAGCCGCGCCGTCCACATAAACGCTGGGCCCTTCAACAATCCCCGAGCCACGGACCCAAGTGACGTGCTCGTCCTGGGGAGGTTGGAAGGCGTGGAGCGGAAGAGGCCAGAGACACCTTTCCACAAGCACGACGACCGGCGGTATATCTTCCCGCGGCACAAGGTTGGCGACGGCAGACGGCATCTCTAGGTTAGGCCACGACGTGCTGCACAAGAGGTGGCGATGCCAGAGCGAACCTCGAGGCGCCTGGCATTTTAAACAAGCTGCCGAAGCTGAATTACCGACTGCGGCTTTCCGAACCATGGGCCACTGCCCGTTGACGATGACGCTTCGGAGGTAGGCTCTCTCGCTCACCTGGAGCGTGCGGTACACGTCAGCCAGGGAACGAGGGGGTCTACCTCGGGAGGTGAGGCGCCGCAAGAGGGCCAAATTGCACCCGGCGCGCAAATGCTCTAAGCCCTCGCCCGCGGCGACCTGAGACCACTGCCAAGCTTCGACCGCCTGGTCGACGAGCTTCAAAATCGTGCGAGGACACAGCTGCGAGAAATCGATGAGCACCCCCTTGTGGGAGCGCCAAGCAGGAAACTCGTGCAGCGTCCAACCGAGGCGCGCGAGGGTCAGCACCGAGGCGCCTCCAGGTCCCTTGACATGGGCCCAGGTCAGGACGTGCTGACTGGCCCACGTGCACACGGTGGCTAAAACGTGCTTCGGCAGCCACGTCTGCCAGAGGGCCGCAGCCATCGCTTCAACAGGGGCCCTGGCGGCCCTGAACGCGGGATCAAGCTGGCCTCGGCCCTGCAGCATCAGGCTGAGCGTGCGGCTCTTGCCAGCGGTGCGAGGCTCGCACGCGCGAAAAACAATGGTGCGTGCAATGCTTCCTCCTCCTCCTCCTCCTCCTCCTCCTCCTCCTCTTCCTCATCCTCCTCCTCCACCTCCGCCACCTCCGACTCCTCCTCTTCTTCCTCCTCTTCCTCCTCTTCCTCCTCTTCCTCCACCTCCTCCTCCTCCTCCTCCTCCTCCTCCTCCTCTTTCTCCTCCTCCTCCTCCTCTTCCTCCACCTCCCTCGGACAAGCGTGACAGAGACAGAGGCGTGAGCACAAGCATGCCGCCTCGGCCAGCGGGCGTGGCCATGAGGGGCGGCCCGGCCCGAGTCCCAGGGCGCGCAGGCGGCTTGGGAACGATGATGATGATGATGATGATGATGATGATGATGATGATGATGATGATGATGATGATGATTATTATCATTCTAATATTATGATGGTGATGATGGTGTGTTGATGGTGGTCATTATGATGATGATGATGCTGATTCTAGTGATGATGATGTGGTGGTGCCGATGCTGACGATGATGATGACGACGATCATCCTGATGATGCTTATTACGATGGCGATGCTGATGATGATGATGATGATGATGAAGATGATGCTGATGATGGCAGTGATAATAATGATGATAATTACGCTGATGATGATGATGATGATGATGATGATGATAACGACGATGATGTTGATAATGATGACGATGATGATGATGATGGTGATTTTGATGATGATGAAGAGTTTGATGATGAGGATGATGTTAAATTTGATGATGATAATAATGATGATGGTGATGATGGTGATTTTGATGATGATGTTGATGAGGATGATGTTAACGATGGTGATGATGACGATGACGATGACGATGACGATGACGATGACGATGATGATGATGATGATGATGATGATGATGATGATGATGATGCTGCTGATGCTGATGCTGATGCTGATGCTGCTGCTGCTGATGATGATGATGATGCTTCCCCTGCCACGAAGGGCAAATAATGCGGGGCCACAGAGGACAACGACGGGGCCACGGAGGGTAGCAACGGGGCCACGTAGGACAGCGAGGGGGCCACAAAAAGCGACAGCGGGGCCACAAATAGCATTCATATGGGGCCACGACGGGCGCGAACGAGCGGGGGCCACGAAGGGCATACGTATATTGGGCCGCAGAGAGCAAGGACGGAGCCCGGGAGGGCAGCAACGGGGCCACGTAGGACAGCGAGGGGGCCACAAAAAGCGACAGCGGGGCCACGAAGGGCATGCATATGGGGCCACGACGGGCGCGAACGAGCGGGGGCCACGAAGGGCATACGTATATGGGGCCACCAAAGGCAGCGAGGGGGCCACGAAGTGCTGCAACGGGGCCACGAAGGGCAGCGAGGGGGCCACGAAGGGCTGCAACGGGGCCATGAAGGGCAGCGAGGGGGCTACGAAGGGCTGCAACGGGGCCACGAGGGTCACGAAGGACTGCAACGGGGGCACGAAGGGCAGCGAGGGGGCCACGAAGGGCTGCAACGGGGCCACGAATGGCAGCGAGATCCTGATTCGTAAGTAAGCTGTGAGGGAGTCCTAAGCGTGAGCGCGACTCCTGGGTGCCTGAGTGTCGGGAGCGCGGCGCTTCAGTAAATTGCGGGAAATCTCAACGCAAGAGCGCGATTCTTGAGTAAATTGCAAACAAGTCTCCAGCGAGAGCGCGCCTCCAGAGCGCCGAGAGAACGATTCTTTAACAAATTGAAAGAAGTCCCAATCGAGAGCGCAATTCCTGAGTAAAATGCGAGGAAGTCTCAGGCGGGAGCGAGGGTCCTGGCTAAATTGTGAGGAAGCCTGAGGCGGGAGCCGCTTTTGTTGTAATCCCAGGGCCAGGGGCCCAGTTTGTGCCCTGTGACTTTCCCTGATAACAAACAGGGCGCGAGCCCCGGGGGCAGCACTTGAATTGAAAAACAGCAATGGTCACCCGAAGGGGGGATCAACAAGAACTTTTCTTCAGCCGTGAGAGTTCAACAACAGCCATAACCCTGACCCCTCTGCCGAAAAAGATCGCCCCACGCCACCGGAGAAGAAGCATGCCCAGACGGGAGGCCTTCGGGCGGGGAGGGGGGGGTCGGGGATCTTCTGACCCGGGTCAATCCAGACCCAGGTCAGCAGGAAACCAAAAGCCGCAATGCAGGAGAAAAAAAACTGCAACGCAGATCTTCGCAAACCCAGGACAGCCAATACGCGCGGCCGCCTCGCGGCCACGAGCGGCTCGCTGACCCGGGCCAGCCGGAGGGCCTCTTCGCAGGATCCTGCAGGATCTGGCGCCCTGGCTGACCCCCGTGTGCATTGACCCCCGTCTCGAGGCTCCCGAGGGGGGCAGCGGCGCACCGAACCGGTGCCCTGCGCCCAGCGGCGGCCCCCTGCCGACAGAGGCGCAGCGCCGGTCCTCCGACAGAGCCCCGGCGAGCGCCGCAAGGCGGCCCCCACGACCGACGGGCCCAGGGGGAGCGCCGCCGAGAGCTGGCGGCGAGCGAGCGGCGCAGCGCACGGGGCGGGCGGGGCGGCCCCGGAGAGGACGGGGGGCTGTCCACTCCTCCTCCTCCTCCTCCTCCTCCTCCTCCTCCTCCTCCTCCTCCTCCTCCTCCTCCTCTTCTTCTCCCATCCCTGAGGGGCGGTCCCCCGCGGAGTCCTCTCCTTGCAGCACCTTGTACACGACGCTCTTGTGCGGGCCCACCGCCAGGCGCCCACGATGGATATGGCCGCGACCGCGTCCTCGGCAGCGCGCAAGCGCCGGTGGGCCGCAGCCTGGCCGCAGCCTGCCAGCCAGGCACCCTCACGGGCCTCCCTCGCGGTGCGGAGGCGCACCGCAGGAGAGGAGGGTGCCCTCGACCAGGTCCCAAGCAGCCTCCTCCTCCGAAGGCACCTCTGGGTAGCGCTCGGGGGGCGCGAGCATGGCGAGGAGAAATGGATCCGTCGGCCACGCCATGGGCCCCACTCCTCGCAACGCTGGCTGCGCCTCCAGAAAAGCCTCGCCCAGCAACTCGAGGAAGGGCCTAGGTAGAACCCAGTCGACCACCTCAAGCGCAGCTGCGGGCCTCGCCACCAGGCCACGGAGGCGCATGGCCTCCGACAGGTGCGGGCAGTGCACGGCCAAGGCCTGGCCGAAGTATGACAGCACGCCCCCGAAGTCGGCCACGTCGAAGGACACCGTTGAGGATTCTGGTAGGGCTGCGAGTGCCTTCACCGTCTCGAGCTGCCAGATCGACGGCACACGGTGAGCCGCGGAAACCTGGTGCACCAGAACTCCAGCTACTCCTGCCGCCGCTGCAGCAGCCAAGAATAATAAACCAGCTCTGATGGCACTGTTCTCCTTCCGCAGCTGTTTCACCCAAAACATGTTCAGGAGGTCTGCTCCCCACAGTTGCTCCCGAGGTCTCACAGGCGAGCCCTGCGAGCCAATACTATTCAAAGTCGCAACCCAAGATGATGTCGGCGGTGTCACAAGAACTCCCAGAATAGCCCCTGACTGAATCCTTGCAGTAATATTGTCTAAAATCGTCGAATCCTCCAGCTTCAATGTCATTGATGGTTCACTGCAATCCAAGTAAAGAACAGCACAGTTGAGAAAACCAGTGGCACAGCCCATAATACTGCTGAAGTCGCCGTCAGCTCTAGGTCCCCATCCAATGTGCAACAAGTAGGCTTGCCGATGGGTGCGCTCCGCAGGTGCTGGTGGCAGCGATGGTGCTGGGACCCACTCCACACACGGGGGCATCGGGCGCTCGTCAACCACAGCAGCTTGCCTCTTGCCAGGTAGTGCTGGACGTGTTGGCGCAGTCGCCCGAAGCCCACGCGCGCGCTTGTCCTCAGCCGACTGCTGGTCCAGGAGCTGCCATGCCGCAACCGCCTCGTCGTCCAAAGGAACAGTGGATGCCATAATGTGGCCCAGACATGCTCCAGTCGGGCGCCTGAGATGCCTCAGCAAACATGAGCGATCCGAGAAGTTGGCACCACAGCACAGGCAATCAACCCCGTCAGCAAAATACTGCGCCATGTCGGTTGGCTGGTGCACACGAGTCCAGTGACCTCGATAACCAGCAACAGTTTGGAAAACCTGATCGCATTCATAGCAGAAATAACTTGTATCTGAATGTCCATCACCAGCACTTGGGACTAGCCCAGGATATACCAACAAAATCTTACGCAGTATGAAGGAGTCCCTGTGCTGATCCATTCGCTGCGCAGAGAAGCTTGTCCAAGCACTGCGCAAGTGTCTATGGAATCCTCTCAGATCTTTGGCAACATATCTCATCCATGCAGCGATGCCTGGAATGTTCCTGGGGCAGTCGTCTGGAGCATCATGACAAAACCTTTTGAGCCACAGAAAATCCTCCACTACAAGAGATGCCCATGACGATGAGGTACCCAGCGTTGCATCCAGGATTAACCGCAGCGTTGGGGATCCTGAGTGCACCAGCCGAGCAACGTAGCGTAGTCGTCGGAAGCGTAGAATATCACCAAACTCCATCCTGTTGGCGATAGCTAGTACTTCCGAATCTGTAGTACGCCCGACTGTGAGCAGGCTGTGCAATTTCCTGGTGCCCACTCGGTACCCTGATAGCAATGCATGGTTCAACTTGGTCGTGCACGATGCAGAAATCTTGTCCCAAGTCTCCGCCTGAAAGAACAAGTGCGTGCTACACAACGCGTCGATGTACTTGAGCTTGTCCTTTGTGTCAATCTCGTACTTGATGACCGATGCCCTAAGCGGCCTCAATGCCATAGAATGCTTGTTCTTCCTTCTAGCAACCTCCTGCGCTGTGCTCCCATCGCCAGTGTAGATGCCACCGACATGCTTGTAAGCCTGCTCGAGGACAATACGATCGTTCGATGTGCTATCTAACGCAATGGCTGAGAATCTGGCCAGGGTCCTCTTCGCATGCAGGGAACCCTCGCCATTATAGGAGATAACCGCAGCCGTCTTGCCCTTCCCGAAGTGAAGTTGAAAACCAGATCCCAACATATGCTTCCTCACGATCCTGCCGAGCAACGATACTTGATCCCGTACTGCTGTGGGG